TAAATCTTTTCTTTTTTTTTCTTATCCTATTTTTCTAAATCTTATGTTAATTTTAATAGTAAATACTTTAGATTTATTTATACCTATAATATCTTTTATTTATATTTAGTTCTAGTTATTTATTCAACACAGATGACAATACATAATATAAACACAGAGTACATAGGCCTCACATATACCAACTGGAATTTCTTCCTGTGGGTCTGTGGCAGGAAAAGAAATAATAACACTGAGACACATAGTGTGTTACACAAAAAAGGTAAAAATCAATTTAAAAAAAAAAGTAATAATACCGAAGAAACCAATGGAATTGTATCAAATTTTGGAATACCTTTTTTTGAAAACACGCTTTGATTTTTCTTTACATCTTCAAGGCCCGAGTGAATAGGTTGCTTATAGGACGACGGGCTCCGTTGTAGACTTACCTGTACCATCTCTACCTACTACTACTACTACCTACTTGTACCACTTGTACCATTGCTTACGACCAGGCAAGTCAAACGTCGGTCCAGCAAATGTATAAAAAATATAAATAATATACATGATATCCAGACCCGAAACAACAATTTGCGTATCACACAAAGAGTTTCTCCGTGCGAGAATCAAACCTGCTACACGTTGCGCAGTTGCCTAGCCACCGCCGTCAAATGAACCTAATAATCCTATAATACTGTTCTCGATCTCAGGAGAGTGGTTTGATCCGAAAAATGACCTCACACCTTCACAGTCAGAAGGCAGCATTTAAACAGACTAGGATTTATCTCCACATAACATAACATCACGCCTTTTATCCCCGAAGGGGTAGGCAGAGGTGCACATTATGCCACTGTACAATGTAACACCCACTTTTCACTATTTATATTATGAGTCCCATGTAATAGGGGGTGAGCCTATTGCCATATACCGGACACAATTCCAGACTCCCTGCTACTACTGTGATTTTTTTAAAAAACCCAGTAATACTTTGTCCGACCCGGGAATCGAACCAGAGACCCCTTGCCCGGCAGTCGCACTTGCGACCACTCGGCCAACGAGACAGTCTCGTCTCCAAATAATGTAGCTCAAACAGACCTATCCTTAAGGTTAACGCTTGTTTTCTAATGCTATTTTTTAAGAGGGTAAATGGCTTCTCCCGCTTGCGTGACGCAAGAGGGAGTGTCAATCTTACTGGCTATAAACCACCCCGTTCCTACTCCAGTACTTCGAGCCGGAGCCTCGGTAGCCTGTTAAGTTCTCCTTGTTTTCTAAGGCTAAAAAACGAAGTTTAGAAGCATCGTCTATCAAATAGCGTTACCCTCGTCGAGTACCGGTTTTGTAGACACAATTATAGAACAATAGGTTGCGGTCACCGGTGACCGCTTGGTGTTTGACAGTTTAATAGAAATGGCACAGCAGTAAATCTGCGTCACTTTCACTTAAAAACATCTCAATAACCTATTTAATACCATGTAAAGGTAGTCATTGTCTAGCAATGGACTAAAATGGAATGTTAATGATAATTGTTGCATACATGAGCTGCTGTTTACATGTGAACATTAGCTCATGACAATACCTAAGTAAGAATGTCGCCTAGACAGTCACCGCTACCATCAGTTGACTGGACAATCTCTTTACATGAGCTGCTGTTTACATGTGAACATTAGCTCATGACGATACCTAAGTACGTTTGTCGCCCGGACAGTCACTGCTATCATCAGTTGACTGGACAATCTCTTAACATGAGCTGCTGTTTACATGTGAGCATTAGCTCATGACGATACACAAATACGTGTGTCGCTTGGACAGTCACCGCTGCCATCAGTTGTCTGGACAATCTTGTAACTGCATGAGCTAGTGTCCCTTCACCTATCTGTTTGCGGACTGTAGTCTAGATGTTTTGTCGATTTACTACTCGCTCGTTACTTTTAACCTCGAATCCACAATCAGATGTTGGATCTCCATTGTGTTTCGTAGCAGGGTTAATGTTAAAACTGATTTTTGTTATGAACGTCTGGAATTTGACTAATTGTTAGAACGCTATACGCTATTTAAGTGTGGGAGAGCCATGCTTCGGCATAAATGGGCCGGCTCGACCGGAGTGATACCACGGCCTCACAGAAAACTGATGTGAAGCAACGCTTGCGTTGTGTTTCGTCGTGTGAGGTTACCGGAGGCCCAATTACCCTCCCCTTCCCCAATCTCCCCAATTCTTGAATCCCCAACGATCCTCAAACTCCTAATCCCCAAAAGGCCGGTAACGTACTTGTAACGTCTCTGGTGTTTCAGGTGTCCATGGGCGACGCCGATTGCTTACCAAGGTGATCCGTCTGCTCGTTTACCGGCTTATGCCATAAAATAAACACGCTGACAAAAATACATTGATTTTACAATTTTAATCGTTTTTGTTTTTGTATTACCTGCCTCGTTGGCCGAGTGCTCGCAGATGCGACCGTAGAATTTTCATCTCATATTTGTAATTTAATTTTATTCAATTGCTGTATTATTGTATTAGCATGATGTAATTACTATTAACTTTAAAAAAAAAAACGTTGCCCCACACTATGATTTTCTTCTGTGTCGTGGGTGCGTTTACAAACATACAAGTTCACATACACAATGCCATCCAGACCCGAAACAACAATTTGTGGATCACACAAAGTGTTGTTCCGTGCGGGAATCGAACCCGCAACACGTTGTGCGGCAGCCTGCCAGCAGAACTGAAGGATCACAAGACTATTAAGTAATTATGTCTAATAGATTATATTTGAACTTGCAAGTGTATCTTTTGTTAGTCCAAATAAATTAATTAACATTTTAAATTGCGATCTAGAAACCCCTCTTATGTAGAGGAGGCTCGTAGTCCAGTAGTAGGTTGTTACCTTTTGAGGCCTTGATTACATCACACGTACCATGTAAGCGTTGTTCCACGACGATGTACTCTGACGCTGTGGTATCATTCCAGACAAGCTGTTACAACATTGCCAAAGCATGGTTCTCTGACCTATCTGAAAAGAACTATAGAGTTTCTTACTCTTTCTTCTCCATTCGAAACTACATTTTGGATCGAGCGCCTACTTTTTCTGACAGACAGACGGACGAACAATAAAATTTTTGACGTTCCAAAAGTGCCTAATTCAGTATTAATTGAAATAAATGCTTTGTTTTGACTTATGTCTTGTTTTAAAGGGGGGAAAATCATTTTTTTTTATTTATTTTATTCCCAGCAATATCCTTACAGACTAATCCAAATCGATATTGAGGTTTCTTATTACAAACTAGACCTTTAACCAACCTACTAAGTTAACCATAGCAAATGCTAAGAAGTGCTACGTTAGTGAATTCACTCGGAGTGCATTAAAACATATCAACGTCTTCAGCTATGAGGTTGAGCGTGCACAGTGCGCATTTAATGACTTCTCCCGCCTTGGGTGGGGCGAGAGGGAATGTCAAACTCTTACTGCCTAACAATCACCCCGTTCCAACTTCTGCTATGAACCGGAGCCCCGGCGACGCGCTAAGTCATCCAAGGTCGTCCGTATCGGACCTGTGGGCTTACTCTTGAATCCAATTCCGATCGATCGACATTGGTATTGTGAAATTTCGTACTCTTGAGTTGTAACACTAGCGCCCATTGCATCCGTATTGCGTGGATATTGAATGAACTAAATGGTTTTGAGTTTGGCTTTATAGGTATTCCGTACTCGGAATGCTATTTTAACAGCTACGGTTGGGGTTGTATAATTTTGACATTGGATAATTATTGAGATTTTATTGGATTGAAATTGCATTGACATTGAGATTGGTTTCAAGAGTAAGCACCCTGTCTGTGCTACACATTCGTCAACTTCTATCACTTTGAGTCATAAAGGGCCTGACACTATAATATGTTTTATGTAATACCCGTGAGTCCACTACAATGCACTCGTGTGTACGAGAAGTGACATAATTGGGACATAACCAAGGTTGCTCAGGCTATTAGTGGCTATTGTATGGATACTATCGTAAGATCACCAGGGTATGACGGGGTGTATAGTAGGTATAGTAAATTAGCATGGTTAAAAGGGATAGGTTTTACATTAGAGTAGTGATCACATATCATCACGCTTTTTTTCCCCGGAGGGGTAGGCAGAGGTGCACATTACAGCACTTAATGCCACTGTACAATGTAATACCCACTTTTCACTTTGTTTTTTTAATAAAATTCATTGAAATTTTACATAGGTATTGCCTTAAATCTAAATTCATAAACTATTTCTATTATTATCATAATATGATGGGAGTCTTTTTATTAATATTAAATTAAAGTTATGAGTCCCATGTAATAGGGTGTGAACCCATATACCGGGCACAATTTCCAACTCCGTGCTAGTACTGAGATTTAAAAAAAAACCCAGTTATACTTTGCTCAAGATTAGAACTCAAGTCACCCTGACCGGTTCTCGCACTTGCGACCACTCGGCCAACGAGGCAGTCATCAAGGCTAGTGATCAAGCTGTTGTATAATCGTTATTCTTCATAGGAATGTGTACATTGGACAGATGTTGCGTCGTTTAAAAATATAATGTATAATTCCAGTTATGAATGAGATTCGTGTAACAAATGGCGAATCAATTGGTGTTCCTTAAAATCTAGTCTCTATTAATCTTTAAAACTGAGAATTTTGTTTTCTCCGATACTTATCTTAATGATCTACCCAATGACGAAATCAAATCAGATATTAACTGCAACCTTCGAAGCAGTTACTCGAAAAGAAATGAATACTAATTCATCTATTTTATTGTTGCTATTATTGTTTAAAAAGCGTTGCTCCGCACTAGGATTTTTTCCTGTGTCGTGGGTGCGATTACAAACATACAAGTTCACATACACTAGACCCGGAACCACAATTTGTGGATCACACAAAGATTGCTCCGTGCGGGAATGGAACCGTCGACACGTTGCGTGGCAGCCGGTTGCCCAGCCACCACACTAACCGTATTGTCAAACACGGTTATTAATATATATTTTTTTTATATTTCCAGATTAGACCGGACATTCAGAGGCAAAGGTCTATGCGAGTTAATGACAAAACCAATAGAAGCTTTCGACTTACGACGTGATTTCGTTGAAGACAAAGATTTCGATTTTTTCGAGCTCGACCGAAATAGCTTGGAACCGAATTGCCCAGACACTCTGAGGGGTCCAGGGGTCTTACATTCTGGTTTTTTATCCTCAAAACCGAATCGGATAGAGGGGGAAGGGTCACAAAGTGGTTGGAGGGACAGATATGATGGATTTGATCAATCGGACCGATTCGGTGGTAATCGGAGAGGTGGTTACGGGAATCGACGATATGATGATCGATTTTATATTCCTTATCAGATTAATCAAGGTGAGTGGTGGTGTTTGTCCTAAGAAATAGTGTGATATGTGTAGCTAGTCAGCGTGAAGTTTTGAGTTCGATGCTCGTCGCTATTTATTTATATTTAAGCTTCATACACAAAGTGTATATAAGGTGGAATTAGTGCCGCAGTCATTTTCTCCCAGTCTGACGTTTGGGTGAGGCAGAGAAGAGTTAATGGTGTGAGCAAAAAGCAAGCAACGATTTGATTGAGCAATTAAATTTTTTTTTTTTTTATATACAATTACATATGGAGATTAATTTCTATAGTTTTTATTTTCTAGAATTAATAATAACTATTATACAATTAAATATATACAATACAAGATAAAAATTAATATATATACAATTAAAATAGATACACTTACATATTTCAGAGATAAACATAAATAAACACAATTATAATATATAATACACACGAGTACAATACAATATACCTCTACATACATAGGTACATCGTTATGTGATTTTTTGTGGGATGTCTCTGATGTCAATCATAATTTGTAGTCATATTACTCAATATATGGTGACAAACGTTGACAAACGATGATGCAGAAAGTTGTATAAGTACCTATTGAGATTATATTGAGATCTAGTATCTTCAGTCCGAGTCCCGGATAGCACAAAGTTTTTATTATTAACTAGCGACCCGCCCCGGCTTCGCACGGGTGCAATATGCATGTATTATACATACAAACCTTCCTTAAGAATCAGCAATGCCGTTGGTAGTGACTGCGTTAGCCGTAAGATGCTTATCCCTATCCTTGATGAAATTATTCCTGTAATTCTTTTCGTCCTTAACTCTTCAATCACCGACAGAACTTTCCCCCAAAGTTGGAAAGAAGCTCACATAATCCCGCTACCCAAAAAATCCAATCCCACTTCCTTTACCGATTTTCGTCCCATATCCATCCTCCCATTTTTATCCAAAATCCTAGAGAAGCTGGTCCACCAACAAATCAGCAGGTTCCTATCCCAGCATAGCCTCCTAAGTCCCTTCCAATCTGGGTTTCGGCCAGGGCACAGTACTACAACGGCTCTTGTTAATATAACAGACGATATCCGGTCAGGCATGGAGTCAGGAAAGTTAACGGTCCTTGTACTCCTAGATTTCAGTAACGCCTTTAACACCGTTGACTTTGACTTACTGCTTGGCGTGCTCAGCTCCTATGGCATGTCCCCGTCGGTAATTGACTGGTTTCATAGTTACCTGTTCGGCCGCCGTCAGCGTATTCACCTTGAGGATTCTAGGTCTTCATGGTGTTCCACTGCTGCCGGCGTACCTCAGGGTGGCGTTTTATCTCCTCTTCTCTTCACATTATTCATTAATTCTATTTCTCAAGGTCTATCTTCTTCCTACCACCTTTACGCAGATGATCTTCAGATCTACACTCAGGCCTCTCTTGAAGATTTACCAGGCGCCATTAGATTAATTAACGACGATATGGCACGAATAGGTGACTGGAGTTCCAAATTTGGGTTACTAGTAAATCCATCAAAAACGCAGGTGACTATCATTGGTAGTGCGCGTACCGTCTCCAAAATGAATTGGACAAGTCTTCCCCAAGTTTCTTTTCTAAATACAAAAATTCCTTTCTCCCGCGATGTTAAGAACTTGGGGATTTACATTGACAGTAACCTCTCCTGGAATAAGCAATTGCAGGTGGTCAGTCGGAAATTGTTTGCTTCAGCGGGCTCCTTAAGGCGTCTTCGTAATTTCTTACCCACAAAAACCAAAATTGCACTTGCACAGTCTCTTCTTCTACCAATACTCGACTATGCTGATGTCAGCTATCTAGATCTCACCCAAGAACAATTGGACAAGCTTGAGCGCCTTCAAAACCTTTCTATCAGATTTATATTTGGTTTGCGCAAGTATGATCATGTTTCTGAATTTCGTAGTAAGCTCAGATGGCTGCCTATCCGCCTTCGCCGGAACGCTCATATCCTTTCGTTACTATTTAATGTACTTTTTAATCCTGCTGCCCCTTTCTATTTAAAGGAACGTTTCCAGTTCCTGGGTGTCACACATTCGAAGTTCCTGAGATCATCGGAGAATCTTAAGCTCAGCATTTGTAAGCACTCCACTTGCTTTTATGACAAGTCTTTCACAATACAAGCGGCTCGGTTGTGGAATGCGCTGCCGGTGGAAGTGCGACGTGCTCAAACTCTGGGTCAGTTTAGGGGACGTGTGAAGGAACACTACCTGTCACTGTAGAAATGCTTTTGTCCTTTCATTATGGATAAACACATCACACACACACACACACACACACACACACACCACACACACACATACTCATACACGTAACTATATATAGTTATCATTTTACATTTAAGTATATATTTATTACATAGTATTGCCATTTTTATCTTTTATGTATTATAATAAGTCTGTAAGTTTCATTGATTGTTTAATTTGTTTTTTATTGTTTTTCTTCTATTTTGGTTTTCTTTTATTGTGCATCTACCACCCATTCCCAGATTCTTTTCAAAAATTCCATCGAAAGGTTGTCTGGAAGAAATCGCCGCGTGTGATAAGACCGCCCATTGTACTCAAATTACTATTGAAATGTTTACAATTTTTCTATGTGTGCAATAAAGTATATATAAATAAATAAATAAATAAATAAATAAAAATAGAAGTGACGTCACATGACATTTCAAATCAATATATCGTCGAAAGTATTTGTTTTTGTAAGAAAATAAAAAATACGTGTCCAATGATTTAAAATAATCTAACAGACGGACATTAAAATAAAAATTAGGCATCTTCCCTATTCACAATATAATATTGCCATTATTAACAGCTCTGTATAAGAGGTCAAATAGTTTACAAGATATTTCGGAATCGATTCCTGGATCGAGAAAAGAATTAGTGGACAAACTTCTCAGTAATAAGGTTATAATCTAGAATTTTGGCGGGTAACAATAAATTTCTTCAATAGGGAATCATTCACATTATGGAACTAGCAAAATAGCTTGTGATTGGCTTTGAAAATGTTTAGCTCGTTTCTTTGTTTCTAGTTGGGGCTAGTTGGGGTCTAGTGGGGGTAGCTGGGCAAATGACTGCCACGCAACGTGTCGCGGGTTCGATTCTCGCACGGAACAAGTCTTTGTGAGGATCCACAGATTGTTCTTCCGGGTCTGGGTGTCAAGTGTATGTGAACTTGTATGTTTGTAAATGCACCCACTACACAAGAGAAAACCCTAGTGTAGGGCAACATTTAAAAAAAATGAGCGTCCTTAGAAGTCCCCCATACCGATGTTATTTTCATGTGAAATATTGATTTCCTTCCAGATTGTTCCTCCCGCCGCCGTCCAGGCATGTCTTTAGGCACGGGTGCTATTAGACGAGCTCTCATATCCCGTAACGTGGTGGAGTGCGAGGCAGCCTGCTTCAGTGAGAGGGAGTTCAAATGTGTGTCTTATTCTTATAGGTAAGGAACGCCTTTGATATTAACACAGTCTAGTGAGCTTTGGTGGGGCCCTGGGTGAAAGGATAAATACTATTTTCTTATCTGCCTCGCTGGCCGAGTGGTCGTAAGTGCGACTGCCGGGCAGGGGGTCTCGGGTTCGATTCCTGGGTCGGGCAAAGTATTACTGGGTTTTAAAAAAAATCTCAGTAGTAGCACGGAGTCTGGAATTGTGCCCGGTATATGACAATAGGCTCACCCCCTATTACATGGGACTCATAACATAAATAGTGAAAAGTGGGTGTTACATTGTACAGTGGTATAATGTGCACCTCTGCCAACCCCTTCGGGGATAAACGGCGTAATGTTATGTTTATTTTCTTATCATTTAGTCTGTCGTTCTGTTGGCTTAAAATGGTGCCTTCCGTATATTTTTCACCAGATGGCATTAGTTTGGTGGTACTGATTCTGATTCTGGTACTGATTCTGGTCATCTCTTGTTCTTCGTCCAATAGGGAATCAGCTAGTGTTACACCATTGGACGTTTAATATTTGACAGCTGCTGTGATTGGACTAAAATATCTCTTTCTATATTTACACCATTTGGTGAGCAAAAATACCGCAAATAGCGACGCGCCGTACGCTTGGGTCTGGTTCTGGTCGGACGGGGAGCCACCTATGCTCGCCGCCTGCAGGCCCGCGCTTATTGTGGCCGGAGATCGTCCCGCGATCCCCGACGCCCGGTGTACCCTTCGTGACGGCTGGGTTACGAGGAGGCAGCACTTCGCTGCCTCATGCGTTCCGCCTGCGCCTTAGCTCACATTGTGCTCAGCTCGAAATTAATACGAAATTAATAGCTTATAGATCTTCGAAATGAAATAAAATTATATAGAAAGAAAGAGAGAAAGAACTTTATTTCACGCTTAAAAACAAGTGACATGTACAGATGTGTTGTTCTATCAGTAGGTACTGATGGATACATGTTCATGTCCCAAGTCTGCCGTGAAATGGGATCAGTTCAGAATGCGCAAGATAGGGCCTCGCACTTTCTTCGTTCTTCGTTATTTGGGTATTCTATAGTATATATACGAAATGAAATGATATGTATTTCTGCAAATAGGTTACAATGTGACACTTTTAATGTAAATTTTAATTACTACATGAGGGCCGACATTTTCTAACTGACTACTCTGAAAAGAAACGCCAAAACAAACTCAGAGATCATTGTCTCTTTTTAGTACGGAGATAAAGATAGACTCTTTAGCCAACTTAACATGTAAGCTCAACTGGTTCCAAACCTTGACCAGGGCTCATAACCATGAGTCCTTGTTGACCGTTTTTTTTTTTTAATGTAATTGTCCTTTTTTCCAGATATTCAAATTCCCACGGTACTGATAACTGTTTCCTGAGTGAGCGTCCTTACCGAGGGTTAGAGCTGGCAGCTGACAGCAGTTCTGATGTGTATGCCATGCCTCAGGACCAGGGCTGCGTAACCATCAACTATAAACCTTGGGTTGAGAGTGGTAAGGTTTATATTTTATCCTGGTTTAGTGACTCATAGGGGTAAAAATATATTATTTACATTTTTAAAATAACCCTCAGAGTCGGGCAAAAGTATTGATGAGAATCTGTGGGATTTTAGAAATAGTCTCGGTGACAGTAAAATAATAACGAAGACATCAAGTTTAACCCTCGCAACCTCTGACCTATTTTTTTTATGAGACAAGCTCGCCACAACCTCGCAAAACCGCTGCAACTCCTGTAAACCAGGATCTACAGTAGATACAGCCATGAACACACCGGGACACTGAAGTCCGGCGCATCCCAGGGACATGAGTAACTGTCTTGGTTCCCGCAATAAAGTGAATCCAAAGATATTATAAAAGCAGAAGAAAAACACGATAGTTTCCACAACCTCTGAGCTAGTAAAATCCACTTGAATTTGTATCAAATCTCTGAAATTGCGTAACTAATTTGATATGACCTTCTTTGCTTAGCGTAGGTACCTACCACTTATGATAAAAGAATTATTTTATTCATGCAAAACCTTTTGTTCAGAATGACTACTCGATTTATAATCGATGCCCAATACTTATATTATGTATTGTCTTCTATGTATCTTCTTTCTTCTCCTTTCCAGAATGTTTCTGGCACGTGCGCTCCGGGTCAGCAGTGAGTGACTCAGCAGTGCGGGCCGCCCTCACGGTGGCCGGGCTCGGCGCCTGCGAGGCTGAGTGTATCAGGGCACACGCATTCTTCTGTAGGGGATTCAGTTTTAGGTGAGCAAAGCGAAGTAATGAATTGATTCTAAATCATTCATATTATTGAGAAATAACGAGCATTTCATATCAAGACGCAAGTTTATGCTCATGTTGTTCGGGAGAACTCAAATATTCATAAATTCAAAATATATGGAATCTGGGGGCACGGTAGTGCCCCCGCCAAGTCGAGAGCCAAGCAAACACTGCCGTACCATCCTTTACTGGAATCATTTCGCCGCATTTTCAGGCCCCTATTTGAGAACCTCTGACTTGGCCGTTGAAGGGTAACACCATGTTTTCCAAGTGGCAATTTTCCTTCATCAATTGGTAACGGTTCTGGCGACAGATTGGTTCAATGGTGTCATGGAGCACCTGGTTTTGTACCCTTATGTACATTTCAACAGCATAGTCACACAACATTAACTATAATAATAACGAAATCGCAATAAGGAACCTTAGACTTGGCAGGACTTTGTTATATTTCATTACTGTTTAGAGATAAACTAGCAGCTCCATCGAGACTTGGCTAGTTTCTTACGGAATGTTTTCGGTGGGATTTGATCGAAACTTTACACAAAGGCTATTTTGAAAGTATGTATACTAATGTATAGTAAAAAAAATAGTGCTTATTATGTTTACTTGATGGTTCTATCAATAGTAAATCAATGCCTTTCCAAGATGGGTGATAGGAATACTTAGTTAGTATTTTATTTTATTCTTTGTCTGTGATTAAAGAAGTGATTTTAGAATCTGCTCAAATCATCACTTTTGTGAGACATAGTGAACTAATTATTATGTTTTCGGCTTACTCACGTCGCTTATTCACTCGCGTCGCGGGTCGCGGAATGCTGCTCATGAACATGAGCCTCTCGGAGAACCTAACGGGTAACCGGGGCTCCGGCTCGACGTGCAGGAGAAGGAACGGGGTGGTTTTTAGTCAGTAAGAGTCTGACACTCCCTCCCACCTCACCCAGACGGGAGCAGTCATTCGATGATTGCCCCTTAAAAAAAAAATAAAAAAAAATAGCATAGCTTAACACTACGTCCTCGTCAAACAGTTACGTGAGTAGGCCGAAACATATTAATTATGTGTTTCAATCAAAGTCAAAGCATTTATTTCAATTAAACCATAATTTGGTAATTTTGGAAACGTCAACAAATACAAAATAAATAAATAGTCTGTCATTCAGTCCGTCAGTGAAGCTAGGTGAAGCTAGGTGCTCATTCCAAAATGTAGATTCGAATGGAGAAGAACGAGCAAGAAACTCCATTCGTTACTCTTTTTAAAAAAGTATGTTCTACAATGTCTCTGATACATATTCCAATACTGTATGTATATGTGAGAACAATGCAAAAACACGCTTGACGTATTATAGGTACTAATTACAAACCTTACTAAAACTTAAAAAAATCTTATAGTACTGACAATCAATAAAAATCACATTGATTTTTTTTCCAGGTTTGATTCTCCAACCATAGGAGATGACCTAGAGAACTGTGTCCTCACGTCATCGCCACCTACGTCTCTGGAGAATGGGCGCGGGCTGCGACCCAACAGTGGACATGAACTATATGCGAGGGGCAACTATGGGAGGGGATGTGAACCAGCGTTGTATGATGATGTCCAGCATAGAGATGAGGGTGAGTTGCCAGTCACTAAACTAATTTCTGCCACTTTATTACACAGGTTTTTCATTCTGTTGTATATAACAATGACTTTGAAAAGGTAAGTTCCATATTGTTTATTGTAAACAATATTATTTTTCGATATTATTTTGCAGAGTAGGTCCAACGAAATATACGAAATATACATGTCAACAAATTTTGGTAAGGTTAGTTTAGTAAGATATATTTGTTCGTATGTACGTGTTATTCTGTCCTTAACTGTATAATTCTTCTTTCAGAATGCTACCTTCAATACGACAAAGCAGCCAAATTGAGCGGTGGAGCAATCCGCGGTCAGGCGCGAGTCAAAGACGAGCAGGCCTGCGGTCGCGCGTGCAATGAGGCTCCGTTCAGATGTCTTAGCTTTTCTTTCAAGTAAATTTTTAATTTCAAATTGTTATTAGTTAGCATAACATCATTACATCACGTCTTAATTCTCCAAGGGGTAGGCAATGGTGTACATTATGCCACTGTACAATGTAACCACTTTTCACTATTTATGTTATGAGGGTATATATATGTTATGGGTATAACCATATAATAGGGGGTGAGCCTATTGCCATATACCGGGCACGATTTCAGACTCCGTATGCACGTTGCCCGGCCCGGCACTCGAACCCGGACCCCTTGCCCGGCATTCGCATTTGCGACCACTCGTCCAACGAGGCAGTCGTCAATCATTAGTGTCTGTTGTTCTAAATTTAATTATGGGAGAGCCATACTTCGGCACGAATGGGCCGGCTCGACCGGAGTGATACCACGTCCTCGCAGAAAACCGACGTGAAACAACCCTTGTGTTGTGTTTCGTCGTGTGAGTGAGGTTAACGGAGGCCCATTTACTGGGCCCTAATTCTGCCTGGGTAACTAATAGGATACCCTGCAACTGGGTAACAATATCCGCTGCATGGTTGGCAGTGGTCTGGTACGAAAAACTGCAGACCGGGCTCAGTATGTAGTGTGCTATTGGAGAAGCCTATAAGCCTATATCCAGCACGAGACATAAGCGATGATGATAAATGATTTATCATTTGAAGAAGATGCTAACTAATGACTGCCTCGTTGGCCGAGTGGTCGCAAAGCACTACTGGGTTTAAAAAAAAATCTCAGTAGTAGCACGGAGTCTGGAATTGTGCCCGGTATATGACAATAGGCTCACCCCCTATTACATGGGACTCATAACATACTTAAATAGTAAAAAGTAGGTGTTACATTGTACAGAGGCATAATGTGCACCTCTGCCTACCCCTTCGGAGATAAAAGGCGGGATGTCATGTTATGTTTGTGGAATTTCAATTATTAACCAAATCCTCTCTTTCAGTAACAATGCTCCACCGAAGACGGACAACTGTCTTCTGTCAGAGATCCGTCTGTTTGACCTCCAGAGAGGAGTGGACTACGTGCACTCTGCTGATGACTGGCTGTTTGCGTTCGATCTGTTCAATGGCCAGTGCTGGAGGAAAGTTCATGTTGTAGAGTATGAGTAAGTATGAAGTACCCGTTGGATAGACAGTATGGTCACACAAAGAAGGGCAACACTATTAGGCCTACTTTAGGCCGCTAGTTTTTATTACTCATCACTTATCAACAGCCTATAAGTTGCCACAGACACACACACATACGGAGAAGGTTTAGTCGCCGCGCTTGCTCATTGCGGGTTGGCGATTTCAAACTTATAATTAGAAATTACGAGCGGACCCAACAGACGTTGTCCTGCATATCCACTTGAATGTATAAACAAAAATTCATTCAAATTAGTTCAGCCGTTTAGTATAAATAACCTAGCAGCGACTGCAGCGCCATCTGCCGGGCTGATTTGTGAATCTAAACCATTCCCAGATCCCCTTGAACACACACAAAATTTTCATCAAAATCGGTCCAGTCGTTTGAGAGAAGTTCAGTGACATACACACTCACAGAAGAATTATATATATATATAAAGATAAGTCCAGGTTTTCTTACAATGTTTTCCTTCATTGTCTGTCAGTGGAGTCTAGATAATCTTAGAAAATACATATAACTCGGAATTCGGAAATAGTCACATTGGTACTTGCCGTTGGTAGGTTTCGAACCGGCATTCTCTTGCTTGAGAAGATATCGATCGTCTTGATCATCTTGAACCTCCAGAGTACCAAGCACGAATAACTATCGCAATCGTAACGTAATAGTATCGAGTGCGTTCGGCGCTCTGATTGGCCGGCTCAAGTGAACCAACCAATCAGAACGCTTACTTCGCTCGATACTGTTACGATACGAATGCGATAGTTATTCGTGCTTGGCCCTCAGGTCTAAAATTTAATTGAGAATACCGTTAAATCAAATTTATGACTGCACGGTTGGTGCGGTGGCTGGGCGACCGGCTGCCGTGCAACGTGTCGCGGGTTCGATTCCCGCACGGAACAACACTTTGTGTGATCCACAAATTGTTGTTTCGGGTCTGGGTGTCATGTATAATTATGTGAACTTGTATGTTTGTAAACGCACCCACGATACAGGAGAAAATCCTAGTGTGGGGCAACGTTTTTTAAAAAGAAAAAAAAAAAAGACCTTCATAACTTGCGTTAGTCTTCACTTTTACAATCACTTTAAATGTTATAATTCAAATAGTTTATTTTTCAAACTGTAAAATTTAAAACATATTGTTTAGGAATAAAAAAGAAAGAAAAAACATTTATTTGGCAAATGGCACATAAACAAAGATTATGAAAAAAAAGCAGATACTTACATAAATACATAATATCAATAGCAAACATAAAAGCATAAAGAAAATAACAAAAATCATCAAAATATAACAAAATAATGTACATACAATACGAAACAAATGCAATAAGCTTTTGATATAAAGAGAAATTAAATATACAAAAAAAAAACGTAATATAAATAATATAATACATATTAATATTGTAGTGTGTGTGGCATGTGCCAAAAGGGCCTCCACCTCAGCATATAGTTGAGCATTCCTGCCCAACGCTGATTTTACACATACATACTAGTGAATTTAAACACACTTCTAATCACAGTGATCCAGCTCCAGAAATACCTCGTCCGCTCGCAGCGCCTCCTGTCGAGGATCACTACCCAGTATCAGGACCGTCCGGCCCACCATCGTCTCCCACCGGATTATCCGGACCTTCAGCACCTAGTGGACCCGGATATCTACCAGATCATGCTCATAATGGTAAGTTGCAACTCGTCAAAATGAAATCAGGCCGTAAAATGTAGCTATGCAAGTTGCTTATATTTTTTCAGTAGGCACTACAGTAATTTTAGTTGGAGCTATCTTTCTTTTCTTTATGAGATAAATTGGTAAATGGGCAGTCGCATCACCTGATGGTAAGCACTAGCAATCGGCACCGCCCATGGACACCCGGAACACCAGAGGCGTTACAAGTACGTTACAAGCCTTTTAGGGATTAGGAAATTGAGTATTGTTGGGGATGCAGAGATTGGGGAGGAAGAGGGGCGGAATTGGGCTTCCGGTAACCTCAGTTTCACGTCGGTTTTCTGTGAGGCCGTGGTATTACTCCGGTCGATTCGAATTCTTTTCATAATGAAAGTCATAATTAAAGCTTAGTAACATCAGAAGAATCGACAGAATTGGATACAAAATTAAAAAAAAAAAACAATATATAGTTTTTGATACTTTTGAAAAGATATTTGAGAAATTTCTATTTCATAATTTACTAGCTAGTTCTGCGCGGTTGCACTCGCTCTGCTCAGCACCTATTGGTCGTGGCGTGTTGTTTTATAGCCTCGATATATGCACTATTCAACACAAAAATAATTATTCAAATCGGGCCAGTAGATCTAGAGATTAGTGCGTTCAAACAAACTCTTCTGCTGCATATAATATTAATAACATATAGGATAATACAGTGAAACTTGGTTAAGTGGGACCTGGATAAGTGAGAAACCTCCATAACTGGAAGTCATGCTGAGGTCCCAACACTTTGGCACTGAATTGCCTCTGTTAGTGGGACGAGGTAAACCTCTATATCTGGGATTTGTTCTTTCGATTTATCATCATAGTTACCTCTATAACTGAGACAGCGAGTAAATTTTATATGCATAAACCTCTGTAATTGAGATAATATTGTTTGTTTACTCATTCTTATTCTACCCAAAAATTCCACACGTAATTCCAAGTCCACCTCTATTAATGGAACCCTCTGTAAATGAGACAAATATTTATTTATACCTGTATATCTGAGACACTGGGTAAGTGGAATACCTCTTTAAGTGAAACGACATTGCAGGTCCCTTGATGTCTCACTTAACCAGGTTTCACTGTATAACCAACTAGTATCATGTTTGACAAGGTGCTAAATAAACTAACTTTCTATTCCCAGAACCACCGTTTATCCCGGCATCAGGCCCACCGAGCGGACCCGGTTTCAAACCTTACTCACCCGGTTCCAGTTTCAAACCCGGATACTCTGAACCTTCTGGTCCCGGATATAAACCAAATTACCCACCAAGTGGTCTAGTTAAACCTTACCCAGAACCGTCCGGACCAGACTTTAAGCCAGGTTATCCGGGTCCTAGTTTCAAACCCGGTTATTCTGAACCATCTGGACCTGGATTCAAACCTGACTACCCAGGACCGATAGGTCCTAGTTTTAAACCTGTTTACCCTCCTGCTGTAAATCCTGCTCTAAAACCCGGATACCCTGAACCAAGTGGACCTGGTTACAAACCTGGATATCTACCAGACCCGGATTTAAAACCTGGTTTTCGACCATCAGCACCGCCGCAGCGACCTGTTTACCGACCAATTTTGGATACGCCAGATTATCTACCGGGAAAACCGGGGTACTTGCCAGAGAAACCTGGTTATTTGCCGGACCGCCGACCTGGTTATCCTGGACCTAATAGACCAGTTTATGATGAACGCCCACCCAGACCAACTAGACCTGGGTTTAAACCTGGATATCCTGATAGAGCAGACGATGAATCGAGTAAGTGTTTTTACAAGGTATCAAAATTAATCATTGCATTGCGTTGTAGCATATCTTTTGTTTTCTTCATTTAAAATAATCACACTTTCATTAATTGATTTTATGATCAACTTAACTTTAGTATTTTGGCGCGGAGAACCTAACGGGTAACTGTGGCTCCGGCTCGACGTGCAGGAGAAGGAACGGGGTGGTTTTTAGTCTGTAAGAGTCTGACACTCCCTCCCGTCTCACCCAGACGGGAGCAGTCATTTGATGATTTTCAACCCTTAAAAAAAAACTAGTATTTTACCAACATTTTTTTAAGAAATAAGTAGGTATGTTGTTTGACGCTAAAAAAACGTCACAATGCCTCGTTGGCCGAGTGGTCGCAAGTGAGACTGCCGGGCAAGGGGTCTCGGGTTCGATTCCCAGGTCGGGCAAAGTATTACTGGGTATTTAAAAATTCTCAGTTACATAGCACAGAGTCTGGAATCGTGCCCGGTATATGGCAATAGGCTCACCCCCTATTACATGGGACTCATAACATAAATAGTGAAAAGTGGGTGTTACATTGTACAGTGGCATAATGTGCACCTCTGCCTACCCCTTCGGGGATAAAAGGCGTGATGTTATGTGTTATGTGTCAATACACAATCTCGTACAAAATTCATAGAAAACTGTCGTATTTGACAGTTCGAAAAAAGTATTGAATTTGACTAGTTGACAAGTACCCGATTAGTAAAAAATATAGGCTAATCGGTTTTTTCATATGTACCCACAGAGTGTTTAAAATAACTTTAGGTTTTCTAGTTTCAGTATCGTGGCGTCACTATACGGTATCTGGGTTCCCGTGCCGTGCAGGGACAACGTGTGCACAGAACTCCATCGCGGGCCATTGGGCTTGTGAACCTGAAGGTGGAGAGATTGGTCAGTTTTTCTTCTCTATTTTCTTCATAATTTTTACCTTATTTCTAAAAATTTTCATGTCTGCCTCGATGACCGAGTGATCGACAGTGTAACTGCCGCACAAGTGGTCTCGGGTTCGATTCGCGGGTCGGGCAAAGTTTTGCAGAGTTTAAAAAAATCAGTAGTAGCACGCAGTCTGGAATTATGCCCGGCATATGACAATAGGCTCACCCCCTATTACATGGGACTCATAACATAAATAGTGAAAAGTGAGTATTACATTGTAAACTACCATTAAATGCCGTAATGTGCACCTCTGCCTACCGCCTCGGGGATAAAAAGCGTGTTGTTACGTTATTTAATGAATAGGAATATATGTATAAAGAGCTACCTTTTTGAGAAAAATGCTTGTGCTGTGATATTATTGAATACTAGCGACCCGCCCCGGCTTCGCACGGGTGCAATATGCATGTATTATATAAATAAATCTTCCTCTTGAATCACTCTATCTATTAAAAAAAACCGCATCATAATACGTTGCGTAGTTTCAAAGATTTAAACATATAAAGGGACATAGGGACAGAGAAAGCGACTTAGTTTTATACTATGTAGTAATTTTCAGGCTCATGGGACTACTGCTGTGCGCCAACACACCGCTGTGGATACAGTGAAGGTTTTCATAAACCATGGTGAGTAGACTAAACCTATACATTAGAAGAAGAAGAAAGAAAGAAAGATTTTAGATATTTTAAAAATCTTCGATACGTATTTTTTCTTTTTTCTCGTATCCAAAAAAACATGTAGATATTTTGAGTTAAAATGACGCGTGACGTCACAATTAGGTACGATTTCTCCGTAAGTGTGACGTCAACACCCCCCACTCCCTAACTTTAATGCGGAATAACAAGGTATTCTTCTGTTAATTTGATAAAACAAAAAATACGTGTCTGATATTTTCTTGCGATCTTAATGACGAACTAATTACTTTTTTGATTTTTTTACCCTGTCGACACGCCTATTGTACAGAGGGCCACACACGAATAACTATCGCATTCGTATCGTAACAGTATCGAGCGAGTTAAGCGTTTTGATTGGTTGGTTCACTTGAGCCGGCCAATCAGAGCGCCGAACGCGCTCGATACTATTACGTTACGAATGCGATAGTTATTCGTACTTGGCACTCTGGTGATTTTATAGAATACTAGCTTCTGGCCGCGACTTCGTATGCGTAATCCCATTTTTTCCCGTTCCCGTAAGATTTTCAGGATTTTTTCTGTCATAAGATCCTTCTCCTAATAATAACAAATACAATAAAAATAGAATTAGTTAAAGCGGTACAGCTATTCACACAAGATGTGGTGACCAAGGGAAAAGGATTAATTTTTATATATACAACATGTAACGTAATTAACGCACACCCTCAAACACCCCAATTAGAATATTATGTTATAATCATAATACATAAACTAAATTTTTAATTTAACATATAATATATGCATCCTTACTGGTCTTGTCATAAGGTTTATTTTTCTTTATTTTGTATTGAATGATAGAATTTGTATGAATATAAATAAAACTGCGATTTTAAAAGTCTTATTGTTTTGACTTACGGTTCATTTCGATTTGTTTTATCAATACAGGGTTAATATGACAATCATTTCCGTAGTTTTAATAATTTTTGGGATAAAAAATTACCTATACTAAAAATTAAATCGATTCAGTTAACGATTCTGAACAAACTTTTTTCAGAATGTGCGTTATTTAAGTTACATGTTTGTATAGATTTTATAGAATAAATATTTGGCTTGTTTGTTCTTCACCATATTACCTACCCACCTCGAAAAACTTACGTACGAATCTATTTTTGGAAACCACTTTAATAATATATCTTGATATAGGTGCTACGTAGGACCGAATCAGGATCAATGGCGTCCATGCAGTGAGAAATATTATCCTTACCATCAGCATAAAGTCCCTCATCCCTCACAAGGTCACCAGCATTCACCTGGACGACCTCTGCCTCCAGGACATAGAGGTAAGTTCCATCGCATTTTCAAATCAGTTCTTTTCAAGGAGAAATGGCATAAAATAGGAATAGTGGGGTTCTCTGATCTGCAGCTGCAGCCAAATGCCATTGAGCGCTTGTCTACATGTAGAGTAGAAAACCAAATTATATGGAACTAGCAGTCCGTCCCAGATTCGCACGGGGTAGACAATTTTTTTTTTTCAAAATGAAATGTAGCCTATGTCAAATTGAGAGAATGTAGCATTCTATTGGTGAAAGAATTTTTTAAATCGGCCCAGTACTTTTTGAGCCTATTCATTACAAACATACAAAAATAGGTACAAATCTTTCCTCTAATATTAATATAAATTTAGATTGACGTAAATTTTGACACTTGTCAATGTCACCCCCATATATTCGAGTTCCTCATAAAATTGCTATTGTTGATCGAAGTCATCAAATAATTATGAGAGTAAGCAGACAACATATTATTTAATTTAGTTTGTTTCACGAAAGTTATAATATAAAGAATCTAGTGATGCTGACGAAGTAATTACTTCTTCGCCGTTCTTTTGATTGCTGAAAATAATTTTTAGTTTTCTACTCTCTCTGTAAACAAGCGCTAAAGTGGCGTTTGTATAAAGGCACTGATTTGATGTAGTAAAAGGCATAGAATAGGCATTTATTTATTAATGTATTTATTTAACTCGTCGAGTACCGGTTTTGTAGACACAATTATAGAACAATAGGTTGCGGTCACCGGTGACCGCTTGGTGTTTGACAGTTTAATTAGAAATAGGATAAGTGGGAGACTGCCGCGTTGGCCGGGTGGTCGCAAGTGCGACTGCCGACCATGGGCTCTCAGGTTCGATTCCCGGGTCAGGCAAAGTATTACTGGGTTTTTAAAAAATTCTCTGTAGTAACACGGAGTCTGGAAATGTGAAATACTACCCTATTACTGTAGCGGTTATTATCCAACTTGAACATTGGTCATAAAAGCTCATAATTTCTTTGACTGAACATAATCACACAACAATAAGGGTCTATTTTTTTATAAACTTATTCCCACACTAGGATTTTCTCCTGTGTCGTGGGTGCGTTTACGCGAAACAACAATTTGTGGGTCACACAAAGAGCTACTCCGTGCGGGAATCCAACCCGCTACACGTTGTGCGGCAGCCAGTTACACAGCCATCGCGCCAACCGTGCAGTCAATATCATTGAAAACTATAGTTCATATTGACAATCAACATCACTAGAACCAACTCCTGCGCTATAAAGAGTTTGTATACCCTTTCAGAAGACATCCCACCACGGCCCGTAGGACCTCGTCCCTGGCAGGGACAACCTGGGTATGACCGACCCAACCCAGTTGGACCGCCAGGCCCATATCTGTCGGAAGGCGACAGAAAATACTGGGACGATTTGTACAAGAATGGACCTCAAGCGTATTATGATAAATATGGAAATCCTTTGCCAGGTTTGTTCCAAATTATGCATTAACTAGCAGCCCGTCCCGGCTTCGCACGGGGTAGGCAATTATTTATTTTTGGAAATTTGGATTGCTATAGTGACATAACTACAATAGTTGGACATATTATAGAGTTGTGTTTATTATTTATTATTATTTCCATATATTTATTTTAAATTCTCTATAAAATACATTTTTAAATACTACTTACAAAAACATAAAAATAATATTTAAAAATATAAAAAATAGGAGCATGGTCCAAGCTACCGGTGGTTAGGGCTCCAGAGACAGAAACCTCCTCACAATGCGCGCCGTTTCAAGGAGAACTGCCTTCTGTATCAGGCCCTTGACCCAACTGCCTAACGCTAGCCTCCTAAGGTGGTTGTCGAGGCTATTAGGGATTAACCCATTGGCCGACACGACTATCGGCACAATGATAGCCGAATCTACATTCCACATGTCGACAACCTCGTGAGCCAAATCAAGATATTTGATTTGTTTATCTTTTTCAGCTTTCACGAGGTTCTCATCATGAGGAATAGTGATATCGATTATCATCGTGCGGCGCACTTGTCGGTCTATCACCACTATATCAGGTTTGTTGGCTATAATAGTCCTGTCAGTGATGATAGACCGGTCCCAGTACAACGTGATATGGTCATTTTCCAGAACTGGGTCGGGCACATACTTGTAGTACGGTACCTCAGA